GAATGGCAAATATTAATGAGCTCAGTGATCATGCTATGTTAAGTGCGTCTGCTAAGTTTCATTCTCTTCACATAATTTTCGCATAATTAGACAAGTAACAAACAGACTCGTGGAATAATGACAATGACAAAAACAATCTATTTGAAAGAGAGCGAGAGAGAAGGAGGGAGGAAACAGTCTATCTAAAAGAATTTTAAAGAAAAGGTAGCCGCGGTGGGCAATGCTTAAGAAAGAGTTTCGAGAAAGCATGTATCCACATAACGTGGTTTATGCATCGCGTGCTAGGTAAAACTAGAAGAAGAAGGAGAGATAGGGAGAAGGAGAGCGAAGTAGAGAGAGGCTGCGAAATTGGGGTAATAATAGGAACTAATGGGGAGGTATCTCAAGAGTGAGATATAGAGAAGAAGAAATATAATAGTGGGTATAAAACGCGCGGGGCGAAGAAAGAGTTTAACGGAAATATTGTGCCGCGTATAACTCAATTGATACTATGCGCTAAGCGGAAACTATAGATAGCGAGGGAAGGAAAAAAAGAGGTAGTAATGGCAGCCGATTAGGAAGGTACCCCTGGCGGCAGGACGAGCGGGATGAGAGGCGGTTGCGGGGGAAGGGGGAGGAGGAGGAGGAGGAGGAGGAAGCCAATGACTCGCGATGCGAGAGGGAGGAAATTTTATCGAGCAGCCGCCATCGACGAGATGGAGGGCCGAGAGGGATGGATGGCCGACGGGGGTGAGTCGGAGGGTAGGAAGACAACGGGAGTAGGGTAACTCGCGGCAGCGAGCGAACGAATCACGAATAAAGGGACGAGGGAACTCTTGAGGGACTGCGCGCGTTCTGTCAGGACGAAGGAGGAAGAAGAGGAGGAAAAGGAGGAGGAGGAGGAGGAGGAGGAGGGAGAGGAGGAGGATGGACGAGGGTGGAGGGTGGCGAAGGAGGGCAAAGTCGAGCAGACAAAGGACTTACCCCACCGCGGCAGAATCAACCTCGCCGGAGATGGCGGTTGCGCCGCGAACCCGCAAACTACTCGGGTATTAATAGTTATCTCGCGCTTCATTATCGCGCGGTCCTCGCTCGTGATATGCGCGAGAACACGCGACTTGTTCAACGTCGACGCGGAACAAGACGTGATTGCGGACGAACGCGCCCGTGTAATTGCGTCTTCTCCCGGACACTTCTGCGTGTCGCAAAGCTCTCGGCTCACTTGTTTCTACGAGTTCTGCTCGGTCTAAGAAACACCTTCGAATCGTTTACAATTTCCCGACACGCTCGCAATACTCGCCGCACTGCCAGGAGGTTGTAAATAAATCGAAGACATCTTCTTTGAGCTGTGTGCTCCACAGAGCTTGTTTCACCGTTTCCCTGCGCTCCCTCACTCATTGATATTCTTCCATTGATTTTTTAACAGCTGTTGCGAGAATTGTAGAAAATTGCAGGACTTTTTCGTCGCTTTTAATGCGCTTGCACGTAAGTGTCAATATGGTAATTGTCAGACACCCTATATAGATGTGAGCCGTTGACCAACAATCTGTCACTCGGTGCTGGGCCACCAGTACCTGACAAATAATTGATTGCTTGCTTAAACAGTGCCGTTATACATTGTTTTACGGCGATACTCCAGCAGCGCGACCTACTCATATATTATCTATCTGCGTCTATTTATATTTGTTAGAAATTAATTATTCTGACCACACGCACGCAAATGCATATATGTATTTGATTATTTATACGGGGACAAAATGTAAATAAATCTAGTGCTGAAATGTCCACACATCGGTGTGAAACGTTTCAGCGGTAACATTATTATTATTATTGACATTGAACATTATGGAAATTACATATTATCGTTAGGTCATTATTATTTATCACTCTTGGGCTCTGGTTAACTAATTCAATGGGCCGGTATTAGTTCAACATAGAAAATTCGGAAAATCAATAATAGCCTAATACTGAATCGACTGCAAAACGTTATGTGTAGAGACTGTTATAAAATTATTTGGAAGCAAGTGCTGTTAAATAAATATAAAAGTTACGTCGCGTTACATAGTTTAGATCAAAACTGGGGAGAATTAGAAAAAGAGTAATAAAAGATCCAAGTGGATTCGGAAAGGAAATTCATTTCGAATGATTTACGAAGCTCGCGTGCAGGACCACGTAAACCGGATAAAATATTAAAAAATGAAGATAACTGTAAAAATAAAGCACGTGTATTTTACACCGGATATCAGTGTTTCGAGAATGCTCCCTCCTTTCGCTTTTCTTACGACAGAATAAGCAGTTTTATTTCCACTCGTCGCTCAAAAATACCGACAAATATTTTTAAAACCGTGATTTTTCAATGGACGCTAATTTAATGAATCCCAGCGTTAGCGAAGGATAACTTTTCGCTTCTCGTCGCGTGCTTTTATATTCTACGAACAATTTATACCGTAATATCGGCAAAATAAATTGATAATTGTATGATGAACAATCGAGCGCGCTTTATTATACTTCGCGCTCACCTTAACCTTCGAATTAAAACTACGTAATCTTTGCTATCTTTCCGATACTAAAAACATTGGAATGCTAAAGATAACGGAGAAGATTATAAAGCATAGGAAAAACCTATTTAATTGAAATGAGAGCATAAATATTACAGTAGCAGGATCAAGATATATTGAAATGCTGAAACGTGTAAAATATCTAATGCCGATTATTATTAATAACACCGTGATTGCTATTAATTATTAATCATACCGACTATTATTAATTATTAATTACTCGTATCGATGTTACAAGATGAAGAGAGCTGACAGCAGCGTCGATAGTTCGCGAGAAGGAACGTTTTATCATGTTATTACGTACAATCAAGAATGCGACCGGATTGTAGCGCGAGTTTTCTCTCGAGTTATTGTATTTCGACTGACACAACGGTACCAGCGAACATCGACGACGTTAGGGTCAAGGGGTTAACGGCAGCTTAAGTAACTGGCAAGCCTCCGCCACCGCCGCCGTCGCGGAGCTGATCGCATCGTCGTCGTGGAAAAGTGAATTACATACGTCGGAATATCAAGCGGTCGCCGCAAATAGCGAGCGCGATTCGGTTCCACTCCAGTCGTCGACGAATCGCCTCTCCTCTAATCTCGCTTGCCGTGTAATAATATCGCGATCGCCGATGACGAACGTTATATTAATCCGCGCCTACGTCTCGAGAACGGGAGAGATAAGATTAAATTTATTGCTCTCCCACCTTCCTTCCTACCATGGACGAAACCGACGAGATCGTCCGCGCTTCTCGTCGTCGTCGTCGTCGTTGATAATCTGAATGAGATTCGGCGAGGTGCTTAAGTGATGCACGTCAGTCGGGAAATCTAACTTTAGGACCCTCTAACGTCTGGCGGACTGTCTAATCGCGTTACCGTGCATGTACCTCACCTGCCTTGCCTTGCCCTGCCCTGCCCTGCCCTACCCGTGGCACCTGTGTCTTCAGGCGAGCGAATAATTCGGGGATGTCTTTTCATGGAGAAGAAAGGAGGAAAGTCTACGAGAAAGACGTGACAGACAAACACGTTGTTTTGTCATGTAAGATAGCCGTTCAGCCGATGTATCCTATATAGGATAAGTCTTGCCACAAAGCCAATGTTTGGCTGATCTGTGTTAGTCAACTATCAGCCGAAAATCTATCATCCAATACTAGATCAGAACTAGCAAATATACGGAGAGAATTTTATAGTAAAGATTACTTGTAGAATTTTTGATAAATATAAACTTCAGTGTCGCGATTTATCGGCAAAAGTCGGCAGATTAATCGGCATTATGTAAATGGCTATCAAACTTTGATCTTTCGATAGGTTTTAAGTGAATTTTTATCAATACACTTTTAATATGAGACTTGATTATCGAATACTTAAGTGTTATCATTCTATTCAACGTGTTTGTTAGACTCTAAGTTAGGTCTGTTTAATATGAAAATTTTTCTCTCATATTATTTCGTAGAAAAATAAGGAACGAGCGAAATTTTAGAAATATTCAAATATTTCAAATATTTTTGAGAGATTAAAATATATGAATAATATCTTAATCACTGAAAGAATATATTAGAAATTTAGTATATTACAGTCACACGTACATCTTGATTTTCACGACAAATGCACTTATGGAATCGACGTAAATCGAATCGCGTAGAGTGAGAACACTTTTTTTGAACTCAGTTGTGTCACGTTCAAGAAAATTTAGTCTGTTTGCCAAACTACTGTAAATTGGGAATTAAACCTCATGCATAAAAGATAGATCCCCGATTTGCGTTGTGATCGAATTTCCGAAAATTACTGTGTAAATAAAATTGCAGGAAGCGAGAGGAATTTTTTTTCGCGAGAAATCACGATTTATCGTTTAATGTCGTATTTCTGTGTATATCGTATTGTTAACAAGAGAAAAGGTAAGACGATATTATGCAATCGGAGTCCCGCGTAGTGTGCGCGCGCGAGAAGGAATTTTTGAATAATATCCGTACAATTCCTAAACCGTTCATCTCTCGCGCGAGAAGTTCATGATAATCCGTCAAGCGTATTAGACAGTATAATCCATCAGCTTGCGACCTGCAGGTAGCCGTGAAAACGAAAATGGAGCCTGTAATGTAATTATACCACGCTCCTTCTGCCAACTCACCCTCGACTTTCCGCCGACATCCCTCTCTTTGCACGGACTAAGGGAACTGCGCGATATGCAACGTAAAATGACATATGAGCCGAGAGAGACAACGTCGATTCTTTTCTTCCTCGTGATCGTGAGAAATGATTTTCGACCGTCGAGTCGCCCGTCACATCGTCCGATATTCCCGACGCCTCGCGCATCAGCGACATTGAATTTTCATTGGAAAATTCGTGTTCAACGTGCGCCTCGCAGGAGTCGAACTTTTCTCAATCATAAGAAGCCGGAAGTTAATTAAACCGTAATCTTTTCGTCAATTTAACGCGGAGTTTCGCAAATGGAAATTAACAGTTCAACGTGAGTAATGCACCGACCTGCACTCTAGCTTCCGTCAGGTCGATCTTCATGGCGATCTCCTCTCTGGTGTAGATGTCCGGGTAGTGCGTCTCCTGAAACGCGCGTTCCAACTCTTTCAGCTGGGCCGACGTGAATGTCGTTCGTATCCGACGTTGTTTTCTCTTTTCCGCGAGACCATCGTGTCCCGAGTAAGCTTTATAGCCCAAACCGCCTGAAATCAAAATACAAATGCACGCAAGGTTAACATAAAGCTTTTGTAAGCCCTAGCTCTTGTTTCTTCAATTTCAATTTTCACGCAACCTCAACTTCAAATTACACTCAGCTTCCTCCAGAAGCGTGTTTGCTTTTCGGAATTCTTCACGTTCATGCAAATTTGCTCGATTTCGGTGATCTTCGGGGATCACTTGGATGCTCTAATCGTTATCTTTTGCACAATAGCATTATGTGAGAAAGGAAGCCTTGACATTTTTACACGCAATGAAGTGTGGAAATTGAGGCAGTCTTTGCCTGATTTGGCTTCCGCGGATTTGTTTTCAACATTTCGTGAACATATCCAGTTCACTTATTCAAGGAGAGAGGAACGACCTGAAACTGAAACTAAAGTTTCAGGTCGTTCTTCTTCTTAAAAAAGTAAACTGAAATGTTCATGAAGCTAGATCAAGTATTTCTCTAGAACGCAGAAGCCTAAAATATCAGAAGCAATTTTTATTTTCAAGAAGAAACCAATGAAGATAGCAAAAATTATTCTGGTCATAGTTATTCAAGTCAATATTGGAATGGCGAAGAATTGTGAAGAAATCTCTTCAGTTAATGAAAACAAAGGACAGCGTCGCGAAGTAACAACGAGTCTAACTGTATAAGAACATTTTGCATTCGCGTTTAACGATAAAAGTTTATATTTTAAGAAATGGACAAACTGATTGACCCTTGAAAATCAGCCCGAACGACCAAGATATCCCGCGCAGAAGAGTCAACATACCGTCTAGCTATCTCTATCACACTCCACTAATGATCTCACAAGCAATTCCTCAGGCCAATGAGTTCGGTCTATAAAACGTTAATTGAAGCATGACAGATACTACGTTGCATAATCTATCCGCGCGATATTCTCCGGCGGTGCGCCACGACGAAACACATGTGCGATGTTGAATTCAATCGAGATCAATTATCAACTAGGACGAAGGGAGCTTAGCGTCCCTGCTCGTGCGGCACGTTTAGCCCCTTCTAAATCGCCGAAACAAACACAGCAAAGCGTCGCGTATTCACAGCCCGACGGATTGACGTGCGTATAAAGGAGCTCCCGTTAAGCCGAGAGTCGGAATTACGAATATAGTATTATTATTTATTTACTGCGAACGCGGCGTTGCTAACGTTAATTTGTGACGAGCGATATGTCGGCTATTTCACGAGCTCACTCGTTCGAAATAGTGCGCGAAGACGTTCAGTCGAATTAGAGTGATTCGGCTTGAGAGAACGTGCAAAGTATCAACGTTGCATTTGTTCGAATATTGTATGAAACCCGCGTCAGTAGAAAATCGTGTCAAATAATTTTGCAGGATATGGTAGTAAGAATAGCGTTTGCAACGTAAAACAGAGGATCACTTGAGATTATGTGTACGGAGAAAAAAAATTTGATCGCGTTTGAATGTGAAATTTAATTTTAATGAACGGACCAACGTGCTTTTGTTAAAGAACACAGAGGTCCGTATTAATAATCGTCACTTGAAACTTGCTTCAGATAAGACACTCGGATCTTAATTTAGAGTTAGACCTGAGCTTCTCAGCTGAATCGCGATTGCAAATGTAATGTCACATATATTATATCATTCAAATAAAAACCTTTTATTTAACTCTAAATTCAGATTTGAATATTTCACACAGGACAAGTTGCAAGTAACGATTATTAATATGAACAAGAATTTCTGTGATCCTTATGACTCATATTTGACTCTAAAAATCAGAAAATCCGCTTTCTTTGAGCAGAATGCGTTAGTTCGTTCGTTACAAACTTGATACTAATACAAACATTTTTCTCCGCTTTGAAAAAAGAAAAAGTATTATTTGAAGCAATAACTTAATAAAATAATAATTTAAGGAAATAATAATTTGAGGTATCGTTGGTGCTTTTTCGAATTTATTAGTGCCTTAAGGTCGTTCTATATTAGTTGCAAGTCGATTACAACTCTTGTTGTGACAGCCAATCAGAAGCGTCAATAGCACCATTGATGCTTCTGATTGGCTGTCGCAATAAGAATTGCGTCTGCTTGCGATCGGATTGTAACTAATGTAGAACGACCTTTAAAGAGCTATCACGTCGCTAGAGGATACAAGAAAGTTGATACTAAATTCGTTAAGGAGTTTGTCGTTGAATTTCGACGTGGTGAGGATATCCTCTGCTCTGCTATATCAACGTCGCATCTTTTCATTGCTGTTTATTAATCTAACGTATTATTATCATACCGAGGAAAAGGGTCTTTCAGATCCGATGTTTAGATTCGCGCGCATGCTTCCGATGCAAATTGATAAATTCGGGCTAAAGCGTCGTATAATTTTTCCTACGCGGGAAGCGCGTTGTACGGATCGATATTATACGACTCTCCTTCGGCCTCTTTTTCTTTTTCATAAGCGCACTTCCACAATCAAGGCTTTCACCTACGAATCGACCATCGAGTCCTCGCGAACTACGGTCCTACAGGGACGGGAGAAAATGGGCGGAGAGCACGGACGCGAAGGTGAGCGCGTTACCTCGGTGACAGGATTTACTCTCCGCCTATCTTCGACTCTTTTTCAAGCATCCTGGCGGGATCCTGGCATCCCTTCGTTACGCAGCCGAGCCGCTTTTCCACGATTTTACGATTACGCACGGGTGCCTATGGCAATTATCGTACCAACGCTCGTGGCGGAGCGCACTAAACTGAACAGGAAAGTTCTCAAGCGTTTTGCAATCTTCATGATAATCATTAGGGAATTCATTAAAGAATATCATCGAACGAGTGCGTAACGATAGGATGAGTTCTAAAGGCGCTGTTCAAGAGGATCTTTCTAGGTTAATTGTAATCTCCTGGCAATGTAGACGATATAATAATATAGATATAACGTTGGATCGTACAACCCCACCAAACTACCACCAATAAAAAACTTTGGACTTAAAATTTTTGTGAAATACAAGTTGCTGTTTTTACTTTCCAGTGTCATCTTGTATAATAACGACAATTTGAGTATGAGAACTGTTCTGATTCAATTATTCATTCATCGGACGTTTATACATTTATTCGATCGATATAAACGCATTGCACAATTCCTGAAGACTTTTTAAAGTTCATCGTTAATTCCGGAAACTGTACTTGACAGTGAAACGGGGAATTCTGACGAAAGAATACATTTAATATGTGAAATGGAGGATCTTATACTTTCCTTTGATATTTACGAAGGATAATCTTAAACGGAATACAACGAAACATTTATTTTAAATGTGAATAACGCGATTATGATGATAAAGTCGGCTTGACAGTAACAAATGTCGCAAAGCGATTGTAATGTGTTCTAGAAAATTACGGTCTACGATTCTACCTGACACTTTGTGAGCCAACAATTCGTTCTCGTTCGATTAATTTGCATAACGTTTAGAGCGGCGCTGACTCGACAAACACATTATCAGTTTATAGAGAGCGGAGTGTACAAACACATGCGTATCATAGATTGTGGTTGTACTTTAAAAGTGCAGCAGCGGCGTTTCACAATATAACACGCGTAACGGTAGCACGTCCACTGCAATTCGCGTGAACTCGTCGGTCAATAACGTCAATACTACCTCGCCCGTCATTCGTCTCTACGGAGAGTGAAAGATAACAAATAACTATCCCTCCCCCCCCCCCC